CCCACCTCCCGGCCACGGCGGCGGGGAGCCAGCGCCCCGAGGGGCCTGCGCCCGAGGGTCTGCCCCGGTGACGCCGCGCCCGCCTCCCCTCGTTTGCGGCTGGGGCGCACTTGGTTTCTCGGGCCCGCTTTCTTACTTTTAATCGACCCGCTTCCCCGGTCTCTAAAGCTGCCTTCCCCACAGCTTTAGTTTCTGCAGGCCACACAGGGGCGGGACCATGCACACTGGGGCGGGGCCAGGCCACACCGGGGCGGGGCCAGACATACTGGGGCGGGGACAAGCCGCACTGGGGCGGGACCGGAAGTCCCTCTCCCTCCTGGCCCGCCTTCCGAACGACTTCCTGCTTGCCATGCGATGCGCTGCTCCCTTCCGCCGGGCCCTTCCGCCTGACCGCCCGAGGGATTGCAACTCCCGTCTTCCCCAAAGCTGCGGGGCTCAGTTATTTCGATCCAGCCACTGGGAAAGTGACCACGACAGACTACAGGAACTAACGCCTCTTTACTGAGGCTGCACGCGCATACCTGTCAAGTCCATCTTAGGTGCACTGTGGTCTGCACAGTGGCCGCGATAGCGGGTCAGAGGACTTCCGGCGGCAGAAGCACGCGCCCCTGCGCAGGGTCCGTGATGCCGGGCGGCGCGGGTGGAGGGACCTGCCCCTCCGAGGTGTCAGGGCAGACCCGCGGCGCGAGGCGTCCGCCGGGCCATAGACTGAGCCAAGTCCACGCCCAGGGCGTGTGTTCGGGGTGTCCGGTGGGCGGCCTGGGATGCACACAGTCCGCACGGGCGTGACGTCCGCCGGGACAGTGGGGTCATTGTCCAGGGAGCAGACCTGGCCTGATTACAGCCTCATTGTGCCTGTGAGACTCTTAGGGTTTTTAAAAAAAGTTTCCTGGAAAAGAAAGGCACCGTGACCTTGGGCAGTGTGACCTTGGGCGATATCAACTGTATCCTGAATCTACAATTTTCCTTTTTTTTTTTTTTAATCTTTTTTGAGACAGGGTCTCGCTATGCAGTTCAGGCTGGCCTTGAGCTCACTTTGTAGCCCAGGCTGGTCTGAAACTCACAGCAATCCTCCTGCCTCAGCTTCCCGAGTGCTGGGATTACGGGCATGCGCCACTATGCCCGGCTTACAGTTTTCTTTAAAACACTCATAAAGTTATGTCCCGTGTGTCCTGTCTACCTGCCTTTATTTCTTCTACCCGATCTCATGAAGGCAATCGGGACTGCCCGGCACCAGGACAGCATCCTTAAAGGAAAGCAGGGCATGTCGCACTCCTGGGAAGAACCTCGTGTGAGCACCACAGCTGCACACCCGAGGGTACCGAAAAGACCAAGGAGAAGCCTAACAGAAGACAGTAGACAATGGAAGAAAGTATTTCATAAAAGAGGGGACCTTTGTTCCTTTTTTTTCCCGGATACTGGAAATCAAACTCACGACTTTGTGCTTGCCAGGCAGGCGCTGTGCCACCGAGTTAAATCACCAGCCCGTCCCCAGCCCGTCCCGTCCCGCGCGTCCCCAGCCCTTCTTTTTTTTTTTTTTTTGTACTGGGAATCGAACTCAGGACCTTGCGGTTGCCAGGTAGGTGCTTGTGCCACTGAGCTGTATCCCCAGCCCCGGGACCTTTGCTCTTTAAGCTAGTTCTTCTGTAAATTTTACCAAAAAATTAATATTTTAAGAAAGATGTGTTGTTTCATACATAAAGAACCAGAGATTCTGGCTTTGTCCCTGTGTATCACATTTTGATTTTGAAAAGCCTTTGTCATCTGAAAACATCTTTCCTTAGAGTAACTTGTCTCTAATCAGAACATACTTAACTGTTTTACTCAAAAAGATAGACTGTACTGTTAAGGTATATGATTAGTTTACAACAAAAAACATAATTTTTTTTTCTTTGCAGTACTGGAGTTGAAGGTGGGCGTGGTAGGGCACACCTGTAATCCCAGCATTTGGGAAGCTGAGGCAGAAGTATTGCCTCGAGTTTAAGGCCACCCTGAACTACACAGTGAGTCCCTGTCTAGAAAAAATGTACTAGGGGGTTGAACCCAGGGCTTTTGCACTGAGCTGCACCCCCAGCCTGTAGGAGACCGTGACTGACCTCCATTGTATATTAGTAGCCCTCTTAC